CTCCTTCTCCCGCGCACATCAGGGCACATGCAAGTCGGCGAAACGAACCCCAAGAGAACCCCAACAGAGCTCCACGCAACGCCCTAGACCCTCCAGAAGGTCCAATGGCCCCAACTCTATGCATAGAATTGGGCCTTGCGCGCCAGGAGGACTTCTTGGACCCGTCTTGGGGCCCTCTTGGACCCGTCTTGGGCCCCCTTCGGGCCGCCTGAAGGCCTTTGGAAAAGCCCAAGCGAGCCCCAAGAGGACCCAAGCGAGTTCCACGTGAGGTCCTAGATCCTCCGGAAGGCCCCAAAGGCCCAAACTCTTCGCATAGAGTTGGGCCTTGCCCGCCAGGGGGACTTCTTGGACCCATCTTGGGACCCTTTTGGAGCCGTCTTGGGGCCCCCTGGGGCCGGTCTGAAGGCCCTCGGAAGTCCAAGCCAGCCCGGGGAAGACCGAAGCGAGCTCCACGTGAGGCCCTAGACCCTACAGAAAGCCCAAGGGCCCCAACTCTTCGCATAGAGTTGGGCCTCGCGCGCCAGGGGGACGTTTGGACCTTGGGGGCCTTTTGGAGCCGTCTTGGGCCCCCCTGGAGCCCGTCTGAGGACGCCTGCGAAAACCCAAACGAGCCCCAAGAGGACCCCAACAGAGCTCCACGCAACGCCCTAGACCCTCCAGAAAGCCCAATTGCCCCAACTCTATGCATGGAGTTGGGCCTTGCGCGCCAGGAAGACCTCTTGGACCCGTCTTGGGGCCCTCTTGACGCAGTCTCGGGGGCACCTTCGGGTCGCCTGAGGGCCTTGGGAAAAGCCCTCTCGAGACCCAGAGGGACTTCAAAACAACTCCACGTGAAGCCCTAAACTCCCGAAAAAACAACGACGCAGAGAGAGACCGCTGCATGGCACCACCACGCAAGATCAAACCACCAAACCACACGATCCGCCCACCCCAAAAATGAAAAACTGTAGCGGGCGGAGTGGCACCAAAATCGCTCCCCTGTCGAACCTCCCCGAGTTTCTGCTGGACAGGCCACTACTCGGAGCCTTCACATCGTCGTCAGCGCCATCGGCGCGCTGCTGCAGTACCTCGGCGACCTCTTTGTAGATCGGGGACTCCTGGAAGTCGTGCACCTGCAGCCAGATCCCCTGCGGTAGGTAGCGGGGGCGGAAGAGCTGGCCCGGCGCGCGCTCCTCGTAGTCCCGCTCGTCGTCTGCGTGAAACTCGAAGGACACGACGGTGGCCCGTCGCTCCTGCACGAGCCCCAACTTCTTCTCCAGCTCCTCCTGCACGGCCGTGAACCGGACCTCCACGCCGACGTGTGCCGGTAAGACGCCGTGGATGTCCCTGGTCTTGTGCATGTTCGGAACGTTCAGGAGGCGCCGGCCTGCGTCTGGGTCGCCTTGAATCGTGCCGCGCTCGTCTACGGCCTGCCGGAAAACGAGGGGGCCGCCAAGGCGCCGCGCGTCGCGACGAGCGCGCGTGTTGATCCACCTCGCCAGTGTCTCCCAGTAGATGCCCACGCCGTAGCCGAGCCGAGAGTTCTCGTGCTGGTGCCGAGGGCCCAGGACGCCGTGGTTGTCCGAGGCCAATGTCTTCTCCCAGGCAGACCAGACCTCTGGTGGGAAGCGCTTGCCGTCGCGCGCGCAGCCCAATAACGTGATCAGAGGGCCCCCCCGGCTCGCAGCGCTTCGTGCCTTTTCAGCTCGAAGACGCAGGGGATGTGTTTGAAGACGTTGATGGCGTGCTGGATGTCCAACGTCGGCGGCTCCTTGTACTTGTGCGAGTCGTCTTCCAGGAGCTCGTTGGGGTCCGCTAAGAGGCCGATGCTGCCGGTGGGCTCCAGCTGCAGGAAATCGCCGAGGTGCAGCGCGATGGGGACACGACCGAAGTGGTGGTGCGGCCTCCTCTTGTAGGTGGACTCCTGCACGTCATGCGCGTCGCTGAATCCGTGGCAAGCACGAAGGTCCAGTGCGTTGTACAGAGCAGCCGCCACCATGCTCACCCCCTCGATGACAAGTACGCGGACGTGCTCCCACAGCCACTTCAGCCTCTTCTGCATGCCTTCTGGCCTCATCTTACGGGCCAATCAGAAAATTGCGCTAGTGGCCCCTTGCCCACAAACGCGCAGGGCGTTGTTTGTGGGCGGCTGACGATGGGTTACCACCGCCAGCCCGGACGCAAGGGTTCCCCCCTGCGCCCGATGCGGCTGGCGATGGGTTACCACCGCCAGCCCGGAGACAAGGGGTTGCCCCTGCCTCCGATTCGGCCGAGGATGGGTTACCACCCCCGGCCCGGACGCAAGGGTTCCCCCCTGCGCCCGATTCGGCTGGCGATGGGTCACCGCCGCCAGCCCGGAGACAAGGGGTTACCCCTGCCCCCGATTCGGCCGAGGATGGGTTACCACTGGGCACGTGCATACGCGTCGTGTTTCGTCTCCTGGAATAGAGCTCCGCCGACTGTTTTTTTCTTGCTGTTTTTATGTTGCAGCGGATCACCAACAGCAGAATGCCGAAAACTGCACCAATCGCTTGCCTTTCTTGCGAAGCGGTCGAAGGGGCGCCAACGCCAAGAACAAACAAAAAAACTACAACGCCATCTGCAGCCCGCCTTAGCAAATTGCTACGCGGCGCCGCCCCCAAGACCGCGATCGCGCTGCAAAATTCCACTTGCCACCAGCCGAAGGAACAAAACATGCGAAGAACAACCAGCGCGCCAGGAGCGCTGCCATTGTCAATCGCCCAATTCGGCCTCGGGGTGGCCCATTGGACCCACCGTTCAGCGCGGAGCTGCCCACCAGCTCACGCTGCGTATTTTTATGTTTGAGCAAATATGGCAACGGCGAGGACGATAACGAGAGAGAGAGAGAGAGAGAGAGAGAGAGAGAGAGAGAGAGAGAGAGAGAGAGAGAGAGAGAGAGAGAGAGAGAGAAAAAAACAGGAGAGGAAGGGAGATACATAGGGAGATAAATAGCGCGAGCGAAAGTGAGAGTGAGAGAAAAAAGGAAATAGATAAAGAGAGAGAGAGAGAGGGGGAGAGAGCGAACGAGAAAAGGAGGCAGAAAGAAAAGCGGAGAGCGGAAAACATAGAAGGATAAACTGATAGGAGGAGAAGAGGAGGAGCGTCGCCGCGGCAGGCATCTCAAAGGCCTGCTAAAAGCACATGCAAAGCTACTGAAAAAAAAAAAAAAAAAAAAAAAAAAAAAAAAACAAAAAAAAACAAAAACAAAAAAAAAAAAAAAAAAAAAACAAAAAAAAAAAACCAAAAAAAAAGAAAAAAAAAAAAAAAAAAAAAAAAAAAAAAAAAAAAAAAAAAGAAAAAAAAAAAAAAAAAAAAAAAAAAAAAAAAGGAAAAAAAAAAAAAAAAAAAAAAAAAAAAAGAAAAAAAAAAAAAAAAAAAAAAAAAAAAAAAAAAAAGAAAAAAAAAAAAAAAAAAAAAAAAAAAAAAAGAAAAAAAAAACAAAAAAAAAAAAAAAAATAAAAAAAAAAAAAAATAAAAAAAAAAAAAAAAAAAAAAAAAAAAAAAAAAAAAAAAAGAAAAAACGAAAAAGGGTGTCTCGGTGGAGGGCGCCGAAATACGGCCCCTTGCAATAAGAGTTCGAATACACTGGGTAGATGTAATGTTGGGTCTCCACTTCCCCTGTGGCCCCTCTGGGAAGTTTCTGGACAGCCTCTGAAAGGCGTTTGCTTCTGAACAACTTGCCCGCGACGGCGGCGGCAAGGGTGCGGCAACGACGACGGCGGCGGCGACGACTGGAGTCGGTCGTTTTCGCTCCTGGTTCGCCTCGTTGCCGCGTCGATCCCTGGGCCCCTGGGCGTTAGTTCTCGTCGCTCTGATATCGCGCGCGAGTCGGTTGGCCCGCGGCGTGCGGCTCCCGCGGGGCCAACGTTTTCTCCTCCGCCCCCTCTCCTTTTCCCCTTCCTCCTCCTCTTCCTCCCCCCCCTCCCCCTCCACCTCCGTCTCCTCCACATCTGCTCGCGGCGCGCCAGCGGCGCTGTGACTGCAAGTAGCTGTAAGTCTGGCTCGACCCTCAATGACTCAATGGCAGCTTCGGGGACACGCCGCAATGTTTGCACCGCGTAGCAAATGCGCCACATATACTGCACCACTGTAAAGCTTAGGCGCCACAGCGATTGCACCGCATAGCCTTGACTCCGCAAGCATTGCGATTGCGCTGCATTGCGCTGCGCAACTTGGGCACAATAACTGTTGCACTTGCACTGCATAGCTTCGGTACCACATAGTTGTTGCACCACATTGTTTGCACAACTACGTTTGCATGCTGATGACTGCACTGCAAAGCCTGAGCTGCACGCCCACGAAGGCGGAGGGGAGAGGACAGGGAGGGCGAGCTCGGATGATGAAGCGGAAGGGCAACATCAAGGAGCACGAGAACGAGGAGGGGGATGGGAGGAGGGCCAGGCACGGCAGCAACAGCAGGGGCTGAAGAGGAGGAAGACCAGGAGGGGGCGGGAGGCGGCCTATCCCCGCTGCGTCTGCACTGGCACGTCGGGAGGGTGAGAGTGCAGCGGCGCTGGGCCGCGTCGGCAACCGCGTGCGTCGGTGCCCCCAGGCTCTGGCGAAATAGCTCTATGATGATGGGGAGGGAGGGTGCGTGAGTCGAGGAATCGAGGATCGAAGAAGCGAGGATGTGAGGAGCCAGGCGGGCCAGCTAAGCCGCCGTCCGCGCAACGCTTCCCGCGTTGTGGGATCCCCAGCAGTGACCACGAATTCCTATCGGTTGCAGCTCCTCGCAGCTGCGAGCGCGCGTCGTGCAGTCCACGACCGCGGGGCTTCGGGGGGGGGGGGGGCGCCGGCCTCGGGCGGCTTCGAAAAAGCGAGGGGGCGGAAGACGGGCGAGCGAGGAAGAAGAGGAGGAGGGTGAGGGGGAGGAGCGAGAAGGAGGAGGCGGAGCAGGATTGGGAGGACGAGGAGAAGGCGGAAGAGGAAGAGGAGGAAGAGGACGAGGAGGAGGAGGTAGAGGAGGAGGACCAAGTCATGCCCTTGGCTCAAGCAACTCCCTACTCCAGCAGATGGCGCGCCATCTTCTTGAGCATCCCCTCGGGCGTGGCCATCGCGAGCTTTGCCTTCTCCTTCTCTCTATTCCTCTCCACCTGGCGCTTGGCATCCGCCAGCTCCCACTCGAACAAGTAGCGAGTGAGGTGGAAGCCGCCCGCGACGTGGTCCCACTGTCTCTGGGCCTGCGCGACGTCGACAGACAACATGACGACGTCCACCGTCGCCCCTGGCATTCCGACGACGTTCTCTGGCACGTTGGCCTTGATGGTCTCGGGGTACATGGTGGGCAATGCTGGTTCGGCTGGATCGGGGCCCTCGGCACCCTCATCATCAGCGCCCAATTTTGCCCTCTTGCGCGGGCGTTCGCCGCTCTCAGTCTCGGCCTCGACCTCGGGCGGGCCAAGCCCGCTCACCATCCAGGCGGGGGCGGGCACGTGATGCTTGCCAGTCGCGGCAGCCATGCTCGTCATGCTTGGCAATGGCGAAATCAGAAAACGACCGCCCGCGTCCATCGCCGAGCCCGCGTCCACGTACTGCTTCAAGCCAATCGCATGGCCACTGGTTCCAGCAGACACCCGCCCGACGAAGTGCAGCTGCAGCTTGTCCTCCCCTTCTATCACGTTGCCGCTGGTGCAGTACGCGCGGTTGATGTCCTTGTCGACCAGCCCGAGGGGTGCGTTCTTTGGAGCCTTGAAAGCAAGCGTGGCAACGCCACGATCCTTGAAATCGCAGCCATCGTCAAGGAACGCGCGCAGGATGCAGGCCTGCACGGCTGATGCAACAACCTGGTTTTCCCAAGACGCGGCGTTGGATGGCTCGCCGAACAAAACCAGCGAGTGTTTGAAACCGTTGCCACCGAGAGAAGCTGCTGTGCCACCAGCGGCGCCCTTCTCTCCAGCAGTCTCCTGCTCTCCTGACAACAGCGTCTCGAACATGGTGGTCTTCGTGGTATTCCAGGCGTCCATGAGACCATTCTCCTTCGCCTTCTCAGGCGTCATGCGTCTGGCGACCAGCTCCTTGACGACCTGCTCCTTCTTGGTCATGGCAGCCATGGCATCTGAGTCTGGCGCGTCCTTCGACGCGGCCAATTGCTCTCGCAACGATCTTCATATACTCTGCAAACCATTGCTTCTCCAGGAGACGCCAGCAGTCATCCGTTTTCCGAGCAGCGGCAACACCATCAAACAAGACCTGCGCATTATTCAACACCTTGGACCAACATTCGCACCAGGAAGCCTCATCGCGATTGGCAACCTCGACCAAGTGGACTTCAGCCATGCGCTCGCGGGCCATCCTGGAGCCAAGATGGACGTACTTCTTCATCGACGTCAAAACCGAGCGGATCGGTTCGTGATCGGAGCGGCTCTCGCCGAGAACGGAGCCGATGACCTCGGAGCATTTGGCCGGGAGGCCGCCCATGTAGACGGTCCTGGGGAGGCATGAGGCCTCCTCCTCCTCCTCTTCCTCCTCCTTCCCACTCCCTCCCTCCATCCATCCCTCCCTCCATCCCCTCCCTTCCTTCCCTCCTCACTCCCTCTCCCTCCTTCCCACTCCCTCCCTCCCGCTTCATCCCTCCCTCCCTCCCTCCATCCTTCCCTCCATCCCCTCCTCCTCCCTCCTTCCCACTCCCTCCCTCCCTCCTCACTCCCTCCCTCCCTTCCTCCTCCTTCCCACTCCCTCCATCCCTCCCTCCATCCACATCCTATCCTCACCTCTTTCCCCCCCCCCCCCCCCCCCCCCCCCCTCGGTCCTGATCTGCAAGAAACGGAGCATGCACGCGCTGTCCTTGAAGACGTTCTTAATGGAAGCTGCCACAGGTCCAATGGAAGTTGCGAAGGTGGCGGGGCCCTGGCTGGCAGCCTCCTTGCACGACAGGGAAGCCAACTTCACTACGTCAAACGGCAATTCCACACACATAACCTGGAACAACTTCGGGATGACGGCCTTGTCGACGACGTCAGACGCAGACGCAGACGCAGACGCACCGTCTCCATCGGCAGCGCCACCGATGACCTTTGCGGCGTCAGAGAACTACTTCCAGACCTCCGCCTCCATCTTGACATGCGCAGTGTGGCTCTGGATGACTAGCTTCTCTGACGTCGCGTCGTTGTTGGACAGAAACGAAGCAGCTCGAGTCAGGATCTTGGGGCACTGCTTCAGCAACGACAGCACGCACTGATCGTCGCCGCCGCCCGTCGTCTCCGTCGTCTCCGCCTCCGCCTCGCCACCCTCGGCGATGCCGTTGGTCGCATCTGCGAGCGCCTGCTCCGCCACGTCTGGATCCACCGTGCCATGGCCGACCTTCTCGTGCTGGGCGTGGGCGTCTGCAAGGATCTTATTGATGGCCTTGCGGAGCGGAACCCACTTCTTGAACTGCTTCAGTTTCCCGTCCCTGCCCGCGGCGACCACCGCGGTGCCCTCCAGCGCGTACTCGAAGCATGTGACGGCCATCTTGCCGACCAGCTCCATGTCTGGATCCTTGACGGCCTGAGTCGTACACAAGAGTGAGTTCACGATGTCGTCCAGCATGGCCGCCTCCCGCACGACTTCGGCGGTGGTGGCGTGGGCGCCATCGGCGGCGTCGTGCATGACGACGTCGCTCACCGTCGAGGCGGTCGGACTGGTCGGATCAATGCTGAGCCTGAATGCGTTGCTGTCTTTGAATTTCACTGTAAGAGCATTCAATTTGCTCGCGTCTTTCATGGTTCGAAGAAGCCAAGGGGTGTCGTCATTGGTAGGGACAGTGAGCTTCAGGACGTGTTTGACGAAGGGGTGCCACTTCTTGCTCTTGTAGAAGATTTTGCACACCTCGTTCGTCAGCCCGACGACTGCCCTGGCGTCGTAGGTCGACTCGCTGTAGACGCAGTGTGTCCCGCAATATTCAGAATACCACTTCCAAGCATTCATCGTGCCCATTTTGACGCGGCTCTCTGCGGAGTCAGAGTAAGGTTCGAATTTCGGAAACTTGGTGGGAAACGTCTCGGTCACCCATGTCCTATACGCTTTCTCGGAGCGATCCTCGGCCTTAGCTTCAGGGTTCTTTTTCCCGGCCTGCAGCGCAGCCTTGCCCCTGCCTTTCCAGAGCCCAGAGATATGGAGCGCGTCGTTGTGGCATTCGATGTGGGTCCTCTCGCTGCCTGTCTTGTTATGGGTGTTCTGGAGATCAACGTAATGGGCGATCACGTCCCTGGTGGTGCGCCTGTCAAAGATCACAACGTTGGGAAGCCCGTGCGCCTTGGAGAAAGCCACCTGGGGATTATCAGCCTCGGCTGGGTCGCCGAAGCACTGGGGCGCCGCCTCCGCGAGCGTGGCACCAGCAATGAGGAACGCCATGACAACGCCATTGCGGGTCCCAACGATAGCAATGTTCTCGGACCGAACTCCTTGCAGCATGCCGTCCTTCTTAATCTTCTCGGCGCAACCGTCGCGGATGGCATCTTGCTTCCTGTTGTTCAGGGGGCGGCGAAAGATGAGCCGCTGCCCCGTGGGCGAAAAGAATGGCAACGTGTACTGGCCTGGCTTCGCGTAGACTCTGCGGAGCTTGGCATTGAGGATCGCTCCCAAGATCCCAGGGCACCTGGATTGGCCATAAAAAGGCGCGGAAGAATCCTGGGCGGAGGGGAGAGGGGGAGGGCGAGGAGGACGAGGGGGAAGGAGGGGATGAGGAGGAGGAGGCGGAGGAGGAGGGAGGAGGAGGAGGAGGAGCAGGAGGAGGAGGAGGGCTTTTCTGAAAGCCTCGGGCGGCCCCTCCTGGGGGCTCTTGGACCGTCCTGGGGGACCCAGGCCGCTGTTAACCCTGCGCTGTTGCACTTCATCGTAGGAGAAGTGAGGGCGCGGAGGAGGGGGGGGGGGGGGGGGGGGGGGGCGCCTCTCGACGACGGAGCCACAGCAATCCTCGAAGGGGTCGAACTTCGCACCGATATCTTGGAGAAGCTCGTCGTACGCCGAAGGGGGGGAGTCCGCATTCGCCGTGTCGGCGTCCCCGCACCCCAACAACGAGCGCTCCAGGGTGTTCGGACTTGCTCTGCTGCTCGGGCTGGTCCCGCCGTTGCGGCTTGGACTCTCGGCGCCAGGGGCTGGTGGCTTAAGTTCCAGAAACATCGACCGATCGGCCATTTCGACCGCCAAAGCTCTCTACTGCCCTCCCTCCTCAAACCTCCCCCCCCCCCCGCCCTGGGCACAGGGCTGACCTGGCCAGGGCCGTCGCGGGGGGGCTGTGGAGGCCCACCAAGATGAGGCGAGGACGAGAACAACAGCGGGCGAGGATAGATCGAGAATGTCTGAGATTCCGCGGCCATGGAGGACGTCTCGGGCGCCGCGGCCTTCTCAGAGCGCTCTGCAACGCTCTGAGAGCGTTGGGACGGATTTCTATTCGTCCTAGCCTCGTCCGATCCACCCCCTTCCTCTTCTGGAGGCCTCCCATAATCTCCAAGAGACAGCAAGAAAGCTCGACCAGGAGACACTCGGCCAAACTCGGCCAGGCTGAACTTGGCCGAGTTGTGCCTGGCCGAGCCGAGTTCCGCCTGGCCGAGACTTCCCTTTGTCCCAGATGGGGCCCGAGCAGATGGGTTCCTCTGTTCAGAAAACAACCTTCCGCAGGGAGCGTTTGCGCGCAGAGCGGGCCCAATGCACGCAAAGGCGGCCCCCCTCCACCCCCTCCTCCCCCCTCCTCCCCCCCCTCCCCCATGCCAGGCAATAGGTTTCACAAGTATGCCCCGAGAAGAGGGCGCAGTCTTGCACCTCATGTCCCGAGAAGAAGGCGCCTGCGTCAGCATGCGTGTCCTCGCTCGACGTGGCGCTGACGAGGCGGTGTGAAAGAAGTGACCTTCGGTCGAATTCACGCTTGAGCCTGAAACGTCCAATCCGAGAGGTGCCCTCGCGGCGCCCCATCACCCCTCGACAAGCACCCATAGTCCTGTTGGAGGAGGAGGAGGAGGGAGCGAGGGAGGAGGAGAAAGAGGAGGAGGGGAAGGAGAAGGAGGGGGAGGAGGAGGGGGAGGAGGAGGAGGAGCCACTGCAATTACTGGATTGCGGACCGCTGTCCGAGCGCCCCACAGGGGCCAAAACAAACAGAGTGTTAACGCACCTCGTCCACCACTGAAACAAACCAAACGGCCCGCGGGCCGCTCGAGGCCCCTGAAACAAAGGAGGCGCCCCCCCACCCCAAGAGTTGGGGGCCAGCCCCGATGTTCAAGGGCAAACGCCAACAGTTGGGGGCCAGCCCCCAAGGTTTGGGGGGCCAGCCCCCAAAAGTTGGGGGCCAGCCCCCAAGTTTGGGGCCAGCCCCCAACAGTGGGGGGCCAGCCCCCAAGAGTTGGGGGCCAGCCCCCAAAAGATGGGGGTCAGGCCCCAAAAGTTGGGGGCTTGCCCCCAAGAGTTGCGGGCCAGCTCCCAACAATTGGGGGGCAGCCCCCTAACGTTGGGGGCCAGCCCCCAAAGTTCGGGGGCCAGTCCCCCAGGTTTGGGGGGCAGCCCCAAAAAGTTTGGGGGCGGCCCCCAAAAGTTGGGGACCAGCCCCCAAGCGTTGGAGACCACCCCCCAAGAGTTGGGACCAGCCCCCAAAAGTTGGGGGCCGGCCCCCAAGGTTTGGGGGCCAGCCCCCAAAAGTTGGGGGCCAGCCCCCAAGAGTTGGGGGCCAGCCCCCAAGGTTTGGGGGCCAGCCCCCAAGAGTTGGGGGCCAACCCCCGAAAGTTGGGGGGCCAGCCCCCAAAGTTTGGGGGGGGGGCCCAAGACTTGGGGGCCAGCCCCCAAAAGTTGGGGGCCAGCCCCCAGAAGTTGGGGGGCTGCCCCCAAGGGTTTGGGGCCAGCCCCCAAAAGTTGGGGGCCAGCCCCCAAAAGTTGGGGGCCGGCCCCCAAGAGTTGGGGGCCAGCCCCCAACAGTTGGGGGCCAGCCCCCAAAAGTTGAAGGCCAGCGCCGACAAGTTGGGGGCCAGCCCCCAGGGCTTGGGGGCCAGCCCCCAAAAGTTGGGGGCCAGCCCCCAAGAGTTGGGGGCCAGCCCCCAACAATTGGTGGCCAGCCACCAGAAGTTGGGGGCCAGCCCCCAAACGTTGGGGGCCAGCCATTCAAAGTTGGGGGCCAGCCCCCAAGACTCGGGTTGCAGCCGCCAAAAGTTGGGGGGGCGCCCCCAACAGTTGGGGGCCAGCCCCCAAGACTTGGGTGGCAACCACCAAAAGTTAGGAGTCAATCCCAACGACTTGGGGGCAAGGCCCAGAAGAGGAGGAGGACAAGGAGGAGGAAGAGGGGGAGGCGGAGGAGGAAGGAGGAGGAGGAGGAGGGGGAAGAAGAGGAGGACAAGGAGGAGGACAATGAGGAGGAGGATGAT